TAAGTGACATGCGAAACACTTTGGGAGCTCATTTGGTATATGACGGGAATATTGAAGCTTTTTATTTTAAACTGTGAACAACTGGATCGGAATTATATTTTCAAAAACAAAACTGCCTTCAGGGAGATGATGCTCTGGCATCTAGAGTTGAGAGTATGTCTTTTTTTTTTTTTAAAGATTTTATTTATTTACTTATTTAGAGAGAGCATGCGAGTCAGGGGAGAGGCAGAGGGAGAGAGAGAGAATCTCAAGCAGACTCTGCACTGAGTGCAGATCCCATGCAGGGCTCGGTCCCAGGACCCTGAGATCGTGACCTGAGTCAAAACCAAGAGTCAGCTGCTTAACTGACTGAGCCCCCCAGGTGCCTGGAGAGTATGTCTTTCAATGCATATTTTGGCAGTGGAACTGGGCATTGCACATATGTCCTATAGACAGTGCAGAAGGATCTGTGGAAACTGATGGAGTTTGGTGTAGGGGTCAGTGAAGTAAAGGTCCAAATCCACAATGACCTCAAGGGTAACAGGAGGTGAACAAGAGAAGGATGAACACATTAGAAAGGATGAGGCATCTGTGGAAAACACACATAAAAATATCTAGAAAAAGTGAGAAATGCAAGCTTGGAGGTCAGGAAAGATTCCAAGTCAGAACACACTCCCACAACACACAGATCATCCCTATTTGAAGAAAAATAGAACCCTTTATTATTGATGGTTTGATGACTCTTAGTGAAAACTATAGTGAAAAAAATTTCAAAGGATAGAAGTCTGGAAAATCACCAAGATTTAAGAGTAAGCAAAAAAATAATAATAATAATTAAACAAATACATAAGTAAAAAAAAAAAAAATAAGCAGAGAGATTTATTTAGAAAAAAACCCAAAAACCAAGCCATCAAAGATATAGGAGAAACAAGAGCAGGGCCATGAGGGGAGAAGAAGAACCGGTAGCTTCATAAAAGAGGAGAGGAGGACGTTCCTGGATTGCTCAATGAGCATGAGTCAAGAGGAAAGTATCAATGTTGTCCATCACTGCAGATCACCGCCACTCCCGTAATAACTGGGGAAGTGTCTCTGGAAGGGGAGAACACCATAAATACAGCAGAGGGCCTGTCTTTGACAGTTTCATGAAAACCAGAGTTCTTTGAGACAGATTATATACAGGTGCTTGTAGGTAGACAGTCCTGGGACCCAACTCAACAGGGATGCAAAGAGCTCACTGGAGTGTGGATCCTAGCTCCTAATGACCATTCTGGCAAGCACTAAGTAAAGGGAGGTACATCCAGGAAACACACAGATAATACATCTATATCATATTAATACTACAGTGTTTCTCTCCAGGGACAAATTACTCAGCAAAATACCAACCAACCAACCAAACAGGATCAACTGTTCAATCATGAAAGAAAAGAAAGTGTGAGCATTTGCTGTGTCTTTGCACTTCAAGAGAAAACAAACAGAGCTGAGGGTTCTGTACTCTCCAAAATCTACGGGAGTTTTCCATAACATCATGAAACTTCAACCAGACAGGCATAATAACAACTTCATAGAGTCAGAAAGTGAGAATAAATTTACACAATATTGAAAAGGATTCATCTCATCCTACTTATGTCCTCAATTAGCACAGAGCTGAGGATACATCAGGGGGCCAGGACATACTTATCAAATTAGTGAGTGAATTTTTTAGAAATTTTCAGAATGACAAATTACTTTAGTACCCCAGAGACACCAGATCTATGTATTTACATATTCAATATAATATTAATCTTAGTGTCTGTGAAGACCATCTTCTGTTGTAGAAAAACAGATAAAACAGTTACTGAATAAGTTTCTCTATAAACACATAGTTATTTGTATTTCAATAAATAGTCGATTTTTAGTTTTGTTATATCCTGGTTCATGAGTTAAACACTGTACCAGACTTCCTTTTAAAGTTTTTGTGAGCTGATAAATTCTGCATGCATTGTGGCAGAACTAAGAATGGTTTTTCAAGTCAAGAATACCACTGAGGTAATTGGTGGAAAATTTCACATCAACACAGAAGGTGAACAGGTGTCAAAGCTTTCAAAATTTGAAGAATTAGTTCAGAAAAGGATCCGCAAGTATGTAATTACCATCATCATGTCTTGTTTAGCTGACATAAATGGTTAGTTCTCTCGCCCTGAATAGCAAGATTTTATTTATTGAAATTTCCAGAAATTTTAGCAAAATATGTAAAGGAAACTTTTAAGAAAGGAAATTTTTTTTTAGTGGAAAGGAAAGACATAATTTCACAGCAATTTGAATGTGAAGCTCAAAAACTGGCTCTAGTTCTTAACGCTTGTGAAACCGGGTGGGGGGTGGGGGAGGAGTGGGGAGGGTCCAAAGCGGCATATGCAGAAAAGAGCCAGGAAGCCTGATGTCCGCACCATGGGAGATTTCAGTTTCCAACAACTGCCACAATAAGATTTCCATCCCCAGATGTTCTAACAATGTGACTTCTACACTCCTCCTATCAGGACATGGTACCTACTGATAGTCCTTGACTCTGGCTGAGGTTTAACTACAACAGAAGGGACACTGTAGATTGCAAGCCAATTCCTACAAGTCCTGCCTCATCCCCTTGGGAAGCTAGTTCTTGAATCCAATGCCTTGGTGTGAGAAGCCCCAGCAGCCAGAGGGAGACCCGCGTGGAGTGGGACTGAAGCTTCTGCTCACAGCCCTGGCTGGGTTCCAGCCAACAGTCAGAATCCACATGCCAAGTGAACCATTCTAACATTGGTACCCAAGCCTCAGGTAAGGATCCTCAGCTGCTGCTGCGTGGAGCAGGGTCCGCCCAAACTGCAGCTTTTATGAGCAAATTTAAAAACTGTGATTTGAATCCACTGGGTTTTGGTGATTGTTTTATGCAGCGATTGATAATCAGAACAGGTGCTTAATTCTGCAAGTACAGATAATTTTTTCTACGTGGCAATAAAAATATACCCTTTATAATAAATAAATATTTGCTATCACTATTCAAATGTGTAAAATTAAAATTCTCCATTTCACAGAATGTTAAAGAAAGGGTCAGTCTAGTAAAAGGGATGATGAAGCATAAAGTTTGATCATTCTGGAATTTATAGCAGGACATTAATTCAAGAGACGTGATTTTAAAAGAAAACGGTTTTTTATGTATTCGTTGTAAGGCCATAAAAAGTTACATAAACTCTATGTTAGAGATCTCGTCTCTCAAGTGACCTTAAGAGTGGCAGCTACCCACCAGAATTGCAGTTAATATCCCTGAAGACTTTTGCCCAGTTCATGACATATGGAACGATCTATATAACCATCAGTCCCTAGTACCATTTATTTTCATTCCCCCAAATATGGAGCATGGCCTCATCTATAGTGCACTGAAGGGGAATGAGAGAGATGCTCCATCGGCCATCTGGAAGAGAGAGGAACGGATGAGGGGCTTTATAAAGTCAATACCCTCTGCTTCTGGGGCAGCGACCTGTGCCTCTTCCCTCAAGCTATCAAGTACCGTTAGCATCACCGCACTGAGCCATCGATTCCAGTCACTGTGTCACTATGCCCCTTCTCTTGGGGACCTCATGGATATGACAGCTACATAAATCGACTCAAAAATAAATACTTAAAATATTTTTTCCTCATAATATCAATTAAGTTTTTCCAAGAAAAAAATTAATGTTCACTATCATTAATAGTCATCCTATTGGAATATTCCACAAAATCCTATCATGACATATAACTTTAGGTGATCTACAACTATTTGTCCACACAATTTCTACATTAGCCTTTTGTCTTCAAACTTACTCCATAGAGCTGAAAATTCGATTATACTTTTCTTCATTAAATGCACATCGTAACTTTTATTCTTTTTTTTCTCCAGCTTTTTTTTTTTTTTTTTTTCTTCACATAAGCCAACTAGACCAGTAGTTATTTATGCTGGAAGACACAACAGTGAATCTCAGCCATTTAAGATTTACTAAATCTTAAAGTAAGGATCAGACATGCAACATTGCATAAGAAGAATCCTTAGCAAGCATAGAACGCAATGTCATTTACACTTAGGAGAAGGAATTTTTTTTTTTTTTTTTTATATTTTAAACATCTCAAATACAGAGAGGATACCCCAAACCACAGTTCTTACATGTTTGAGAAAAAAAAAAAAATTTGAATACCTTCCAATAAATTCTGTCATCATGAGCCACGTTACTCACCCAGAAAGCTGAATGCTTTCCAGAGGAACCGCAAAGACATTCACCCCCTAGGAATTTAGCTTCTCTAAAAGAGAATTATTTTTTTTTTACTTTTAAGGGAGAAATTGATATTTTAGTTTATATTTGCCTTACAATTTTTATTTTTAGGTATAAATATTTATCACCCAGCTAGGTCCGAGGTGTGAATTCCAGGCTAACAGTGACTTAGAGCTCTATTAGAATTTTTAAAAAGAGGCAAAAACAAAAACAAAACAGAAGCAAAATCGAGCATGCCAGATACATATCCATGCCTTACGTTTCTGCTTCTTTAAAACACATCTTTAAGGGATAGATATTTGCATTTGGGATTCATTAGCTTCCACCTCCAAACAGCTAAGTGCAATCTCCAATAACATCGTAGGATGTTAAAGGCTGACAAGTATCCTGTTGGCCCGTGTGTCTCCTGACTTAGGACTCTATGTTTGTTGATTTGGTGAACTTAAGGAAATGCTGAAGCTATTTCTTGGAGTTTCCTAGAACAGGTTGGCAACTGAACTCGGTTATGATTTATAGGTGGAAAAGAAAATAATCAGTGTCAAATGAATGCATCATGACACACTTCGGACTTTGTAAATGATGCAGTAATGCATGGTCACCAAATTTTGCCATACTCTCTGAAAATGGTTTTAGACATAAATACCTTTCAATGTCCATATAGTGAAGTTTGCTCTTCTCAGCTAATATGTCTACAAACTACTAGAATTGGATCTCACTGAGGATAAAGAGATATAAGTGAAGGGGAAAGAATGTGAGCACATTTACCGGAGTTCTCAATTCAGGGATGGCGGCTTGGTAGGTGAGTGGGCGACAATCAGGTGTGTTTGGCACCAGGACACAAGGAAGAAACACAGGACCCAAGTCATCTCCATCCAGAACGTCCACTGTGAGGGTGGTGGTGGTGGTTCGCCGCTCATTCAGATTTTGTGCACGGTCCTATGAGAGGAAAAAGGAAAAGAAACACAAAAAACAATGAGATGGACCCAACATTTTCTTCAGCTTGACCAGACGGTAGACAGGTTTCTTCCTGATTATAGGCCCCAACCACTCTTAGGGCATTTACTTTAGAAAACTTGCGACTGTACATTCTTTCTCTGCCCTTTGAGATGGCAATCTTCCTGCAGCTCAAACTTCTGCCAGTTTTATAATCCAGCACTCCGTCTCAAGGATCTGGGAGCCATAATCACCAAAGAAGACAGACGCCCACCTCTCAGTCTCCATGGGAGGGTAGGAGCCTAAGGTCCATAGGAGGCTTGCTCCAAGGTATGAACCTATCTCCCATCCTTGAAGTACAACACAATGTCACTTTTCCTTTGAGAAGGCCACTTAGCAAACACAGTTGGCTCTTGATTCCTCTACCCGATGCCCACCCAGCTCTGTCTTTGATTTTTGATGATGTTTCAAGCAATGTAGACAAATTTTAGGGGCGCCTGGGTAGCTCAGTCATTAAGCGTTTGCCTTCGGCTCAGGTCATGATCCCAGGGTCGGGGGATCAAGTCCCACATTGCGCTCCTTGTTCAGCAGGGAGTCTGCTTCTCCCTCTCCCATTGTCCCTCCCTGACTCGTGTTCTCACTCACACTCTTTCTCTCTCTCCCTCTCGCTCACACTCTCCCAAATAAATAAATCTTTTTTTTTTTTTTAAAGAAAAACTTTAGATAAATTTTGGTTATTTCTAAAAACAAGCAACAACAACAACAAAAAACAAAAAAACCCAAATTCTCAGAAAAGTAAAATGAAGGGAGAAAAAAAGGAAGAGAAGAAAACCTGGCAGGTCTGCTGCACTTTTAACAGAGAAATGTTTAATGGCTCACACAAGCATTTCTGTTATCAGGTATTTTGAGACCAGCGCTGCTGGTCTTCAGGGAGCGCATTGCTGTCACTGAAATAACCTAGTTTTCTGAGCTTCTAGATGATACTTGTTTTATTTTGCTTCTTCATTCTTTGGGACTCTAAAACTACAGTTTCTAGGAAGAGTGACCTTGCAGCAATTATGGCAATTATCTGTTCAACTTTCACTCTTTCCCACGACACATCGTATTGCTAAGAGAGCAGGGATTTTTTGTTTTCCTTGTTTGGTTTTTCCCAGTTTTACTGAGATATAATTGACATATAGCACTGCATGAGTTTAGGGTGTGCAATGTAATGATTTGACATACATATACGTGAAAGGATTTTTACAATAGGTTTAGTTAGCATCTATCATCTCATACAGGCACAGAAAAAAAAAAAGAAAAAAAAATTTCTTGTGAGGAGAACTCCCATCTGGACTCTTAGCAATGCTCTAGCCCTTCTTTCAGTGGACTTGAGCTCAGACTGCATTCCTGGTCCTTCTTATTGAAACAGGAAGGTCTTCCTTCCTCAGCTGGCCCAGTACTTTTTGCTTTGAGGATACATTGTTACTAACTATGATCCCTTCTGCAGAGACATTGCTAGTTTCTGACGTGCGTTTTCCATCCCAGGATCCCATCCGGGACCCGCCTACATGTAGCCATCACGTCTTCTCAGGCTCCTTTTGGCTCTGAAAATTTCTCCAACTTCCCTTGTTTTTGGTTACCTTGACAATGTTGAGTACTAGCCAGGCATCTTGTAGAGTGTTCTTCAGTGGGGACTTTGATGTTTGTCTCAAGATCAGACGGGGGGGAAGCATTTTGGGGAGGGAGACCATAGAGGTCCAGTGTCCTGTCAGCACATTATATCAAGAGTATATATTATCAACACAACTCATCCTTTATGCTAACCTTGATCACCTGGTTGAGACTGTGTTCATGAGATTTCCCCATTGTCAATTTACTCTTTTTTCCCTTTTCATTTCTTTGGGGGAAAAAAACACTATGTGCAGCTCATGTTCAAGAGTAGAAGTGATTTCATTACATTACATTTCATTTACATTGATTATATGTATCTAAAGAGAGTTCAGCAGGAGGACACAAGGAAAAAACATCGGACCCAAGTCATCTCTGTCCAGAACACCTACTGTGAGAGTGGTGGTGGTTTGTCGTTCATTATGGTGGAATCTAGAGTGTCTTTACTTTCATAGCATTTTGTTATTTTGAAAACTTATTCCATTTTTTTCTGCCTCCTTCAAATTCTGTTCTGTACAACTCCAAAAAGTAATTATACTTACATACATGTTCATAGCAGCACTATTCACCATAGCCAAAAGTTAGCAGCAGTCAAAATATCCACCAATGAATGAATGGGTAGACAAATTTTGTTATATATATATATATATATAGGATACACACACACACATTTGGGATACACACACACAATGGCACAGCCACGAGAAGGAATGAAGTACTGACATACACTACAACATGGATAAACATTGCACACATTAATGCAAAGTGAAAAACACCAGATAAAAACATGAAACATCCAGAATAGGTAAAGCCATCCAGACACATTGGTGACTGCCAGGGGCTGAGAGAGCAGGGGTGGGGAAAGAAGGCTTGAGGAGTGTAAGACTTCTTTTGGGGATGAAATGTTTGGGGGACGGATAGAGGTGGCGGAAGCACAAGAGTGTCAATGTGCCAAATGCCACTGAAGTGTTCACTTTACAGTGGCTAATTTTATGGTATGTGCATTTACCTCATTGATTTTTTTTTTAAAGTAATATACTTGGTTACCAGTGGGGATGGGTGGTAGCGGAAACAGGTGCTGGGGATTAAGGAGGGCACTTATGATGAGCATGGGGTGATGTATGGAAGCGTTGAATCACTATATTGTACACCTGACACTAATATTACACTGCATGTTAAGAAAGTAATATACGAATGGACTGACATTTTATTTTATGTTGCTTAGTGTTTTCCTGTGTGACATTTACCAGACATCGATATTTGCTTACCAGTTAAAAATACTCTCAAGCTTTGTGCACAACTCTGCATTTCAGTTATGTTCTTTCCCAATCTTGTTGCTCAAGAAATGTTGTAAGGAAGGGTTCTAGGGTAAAATCTCAGAAGGCTGAAAAATCTTTATTGGTGGAATTTTGCCTATACAACCATTGAGGAATACAATAACTCTGGGACTCCAGCTTCTGTAGTGTTTAGAACCATTATAAGACAGAGTGTGGTCAAATCGTGGGGAAAAATGTTTAAATTTCCAGAGTGTGAGGACCACTAAGAGTTTCAGAGTTGATATAAAGGCTATTTTAATGATATTTGAGATTGAACATATACAGAAAGAAGTCTTCTTTTATCTCACTAAAAAACAGAAACTTCTGGAAACGAAGATGCCATGAATGGTTATGGCCATCAGGAAAACAAACCGAACTAGCAAACAGTAACTCCTACATGAACACACGTTATCACAACATTCTTATCTCCTGCTCATTCTCATTAGAAACTCATGTGTTCCCACAGAAACCTCTTCTCCCTGCTTCCCCAGAAAGGTAGGTTGCAGACCAGGGTCCTTAGCATTTCAGGGAGCCATTCCTGTTTGCCGCATATGCATGGGAAGGATTTTGCCCTGTTACTCTGTCTTTTGTCAGTGCAATCTGCAAGTCCCCAATTAGTACATGGAAGAGCATGGAGGAAAATATAATTCCCCCTTCTCAAAAAAGGGGAAACTATAATTGAGATTAATGACAAGATTAGAGTAATAATTATGATTGACTGAATTTACAGGTATACAGATTTTTTTTTTTTTAAAGATTTTATTTATTTATATGACAGAGAGAGACAGCGAGAACAGGAACACAAGCAGGGGGAGTGGGAGAGGGAGAAGCAGGCTTCCCGCTGAGCAGGGAGCCCGATGTGGGACTCGATCCCAGGACCCTGGGATCATGACCTGAGCCGAAGGCAGACGCTTAACGACTGAGCCACCCAGGCGCCCCAGGTATACAGATTTTTAAGAAGTCCTTCTTTAATTGTTGTAAATTTTCCCTGTCTGGTCATTATATTCAAAACAGTTGAAAGTACAGTACGAACACTAAATGATACGTGAGATAATTTTGGTGGTCCACAAGTTAGCCTTTAAAATTATACTGTTTCGGGGCGCCTGGGTGGCTCAGTCGTTAAGCGTCTAGCTTTGGCTCAGGTCATGATCCCAGGGTCCTGTGATCGAGCCCCGCATCGGGCTCCCTGCTCGGCGGGAAGCTTGCTTCTCCCTCTCCCACTCCCCCTGCTTGTGTTCCCTCTCTCGCTGTGTCTCTCTCTGTCAAATAAATAAATAAAATCTTAAAAATATATATATACTGTTTACATGTATGAAATGTGAGTACATATAGAAAAATCTTTTTTTTTAATTGAAGACATATTAGTTTCAGATGTACTATAGTGATTCAACATGTAATGTTATGCTGTGCTAACCACAAGTGTAGCTACATCTCCCATCACACAGCATCATTATAATATCATTGATGGTATTTCCTATGCTTTGCTTTTTATTTCCATGGCTTATTAATTCCATAACAAGAAACCTGTATCTCCCACTCCCCTTCACCCGTTTGCCCATCTCCCCCCAGCAACCACTATTTTGTTGAAAATCTTAATTTGGCATAAATTCATGGATTTATTTTAAATTTTAAAAACTACAACTGGCTAATAAAATAAAATAAAATAAAATAAAATAAAATAAAAAACTACAACTGGCTTATCAAACTTACCATTTTAAAATTATGATTGCTTGGGATGAAGTCTTTCAAAAGACCAAATCAACCTAAGTTTATAAAAAATATTAGATAATTTACATTTTACATGGTATGGATGTGGCAAAATGTTTTCATACTCAGAAGCAGTATTTCTACACTTCTTTGCCACACAAGGTTACCCCTCATATGCCATCACCAAGTCACTGTAGTAGACAGAGTAGGGTGTTTATCCAAAATCTTTCCTTCAGTCTGTCGGCAACAAATCTCACTGTTCTCTACCTCTTTGGGTCATTGTCACTACTCCATCATATGGGTACAAGTGAATAAGGGTGGGTGTATGTA